CAATAAAATAGAAAGAATGCATTAAAATCATGTAATCCCTAAATAAGATTTACTAAAATAGTGTGATTTTTGGGGAGTTCTTTTTATTTTCTTTATTTTTTATGCTATAATACCTTATTAAGGTGTAATTTATATAAAGTAAAATGAACAAACCTTAAGTGTACAACTGGGCTTGAATAAATATGTGTGTGTAACCATACTCATATTAAGTATACAACATTGCCACAATTCCTAAAAAAAAACACCTCCTTCGCTACCTATTTAATCCCTTTAAAAATGTAAGCAATAATTTAGAAATATGTCTATTTAAATCATTAGTGGAAGCAGATGTATTTGGGGTTGACTGTGGATCATGCTATTACTATCAAAACTCTGATACTGAGCTTGTTTCATTGGTGACTGCTCTTTTGTTACCTGGATGAAACTTCTGAATGGTTGCTAAGAGGTCCTCTAATATATGTGCATATGTAGGAATTTAGTTGGACCCTTTAATTTTTTTGTAATGAACTAATTAATTTAAAACTCACTGTACTTCCTGTTTTCAATTATTTCATTATTTTCTTAGATCATTGCCATACCGTGTTCACTGGGCACAGCAAGATTGCCTTCTGTGTCGTCTAATTCCCAAGTGTGAGCCAGTGAAGTCAAGAGGAGCTCTAATCTCTGCCTTTTCAAGAGATGGCCTTACCCTGGCAGCAACTCTTAATCAGAAAGACCCAAAGGTCAGTGAATGTATTCTGGCTTGGAAGTAACCTATAAAAGCGAGAATTTGGTCGTTTTGAGATTTTTTTCCCCCCCGAAGATAGTTTTTTTCTTAATATTATTTTATGTTCTTTGAATTGGTGTTTTCTGATCCATCTTAACATTGTTGGTTGGTAAAGTTATTTAAATTAGCTACCATAGTTTTCAAAACTTGGCCTTTGGAAGTGAAAAAGAGGATAAGGGAAAAGGAAGAAAGAAGGACAATGTGGTAACTGATGTTCTTAAAATGTAGTATAAAAATGAGAAGAGTTAGAGTGGTCAATATTGTTTTGCCCATTGGGAAAGACCCCTCGTTTATTGATATAATAATAGATCTCTAGTCTCTAGATTTATAAGTAATGATTAAAGTAAAATAATTTTAATAATGATTTTGTTGTCTCTTTTTTTTTTTTTTAATCTAGGCAACTCAGGTATTATTTATAAACACACTGAATTTTGTTACTCTCTGTGGTAGCCTTAAAGGATGTAGCAATAAAAATCCTGTGGTTCCAGCTACACTTATCAGGTAAGAACTCTTTTGTGTTTCTAAATATTTTTATTTTCTTTTCCAACAGTCTGATAAGTTTAAGTCTCTGATAATTCAATAATGTCTAAATAGGTATTTAGATAGATAATGCAAGTTACTTTCAGCACTTGTGCTTGATAGATTCTAAAAATTNTGATAAATATTAATATTATTTGTGCTTTTAATTTATTATTAGCATAGTTTTACATCCTGAATGGTAACATTATTTATGCTTCTTATTGTCAGAATAGATAAATTACGTACTTTTCTGGGGAGAATTCAAACTTCAGAGGTTTAATTACTTCTTTTTTTTTTTTTAGCAAGCTCTTTGAGACTGTATTTGTATGTATCTGGAAATGGGAAAAGAGTTCTACTTATAACTCCTTCTGGATGTATATTTCTTTGGGAATGTTTGGAATTCAAGACTATCTTATCTTCTAAAAGCCCTTCACTGATGGGCCAGTGGTCCCAGATCATGCCTGAGGAAGCCGTTCATTTGCCATCCCCTGAAGATAAAGAAGCTATAGTGCATGCTGCCTTTATAAAAAATGAGGTAAATTTCTAATCTGACAGGATGTTCCAGAAGTTGAGATCTCAGATCCTTCAGAACAGAAACCATCTCTGATTCTATTGAGCACAGTGTGGAATGGCATAGCTGTAGATCTCTAGTCATTGACTGTCACATTAATTGTGACATTTTTGTGGAAAAGATATTTTTATACATCTTGGTCATATTTTAAAATATGTTTATTAAAAATGGTTTGAACTTAGAGTTTCCTTTCTCTTTCCCTAGTTTTACTTATCCCTGGTTTTAAAGTATAACTAGTTTTGTAATGTAAAAAGCTAGAATTGATGATATTAAATAAGCCATTTAATTCCCAGGAAATAATACATTCATTAACTAAAAAACATTTTATTGGGTTGTTGGAAAAGTCATGACGTATTTTGTCTATGTTTTTCAAAGGTCATTTATTTATATAAAGAACAAAAATCAATCAATGATATGTTGCCTGTTTTGTTCGATAACCTTTTGCCATCTTTCAGTGAGCTTCATAATTCCTCGTTCATAGGACCTGTCTTTATTTGCGTAAAACTGAACCAAGGTGCTGATTTACAGCCTCATCTGAATGGAATCTTATACCACACAAGGAGTTTTGAAGAGAGCGAAACTAATGGAAGTCTGACTGCACAAGGTCAGGCGAATATGGTGGGTGAGGCAACACATCCCATCCAAGATCCAATAATTTTTGACGGATGATCAAACTTGTGTGTGGTCTCTTTACAATTAACAAGCTCTGGATGTTTCTGAATGATGGATTTGTTCAAACTGTCCAATTGCTGACAGTACACATTCAAATTGATTGTTTGATTCCTTGGTAGGAGCTCAAAAAACACGACACCTTTAAAATCCCACCACGCTGAG